TTTAAAAGATTTCATAAAGATTAATTTATAATAAATCAGGTAACAAAACTGTGGATAAGTTTGGTTAATGTCTCTTATAGTTTAGCAGCTAGACTTTAGCTTAAATCTGGAAAAAATGCAGATATATCCCTGAAGCTCTCTTGGACAAATCTAGTGCATGAACTGAGGAGTCAAAGATTTATCAATATTAGCGAATACTCATTTCTTTGGTAGACTTATTAAAAAAAGCTAAAAAAACTAATTTAACCCTTTAAAGCACTTGAAAACTTATTCCAAAATTTAAAAAAAAATCACTATAGAAATCCGAGTTTCAAAAAGCACACCACTTAGTGCAACTAAATCTCCCAAGTTTTAAACTTTAATCAAAATTTCCCATTTCTTCGTTTCTTTTCGTACTTTTCCACTACCTAGCGATGCAATAAAAACTTTATTTCATAAATTATAACATTTTAGTGAAAGTGTATTAATATAAACCAAAGTAGAAAACATTATTTTATACAAAAAAGTACCAAAAATAAGTACAATTTTTAGCACTTAAACTTCCGAACTTTCCAAATGTACCAAATATATTCGTAATTTTTCAATTAGGTAACTAATTTGTTATACATTTTACTTCTATATTCGCAGGCTTAAAAATTTAAAAAGTACCATAATACAGTTTTTATACGGTTATTGCTTAAAGGCACCGTATTTCGAAAAAGTACCAGATATCTAACCACTTATTTGTTGAATAAACCACGATATGTATTTGCTACTTTTACCCCAAAGAAATTTAAATTCTTAAAGTTTCCTCCTTAATGGATCTATAAAACACTTCTCATTAAAAAATTTTCAAGTTATTAATACCTTTAAAAACATATTTCGAAATAAAATTTTTTTTAGTTTAACAATATTTGCTAGATTATATTGCTATTAGATCACTGTTTCTTCATAAACATATTAATATTCAGGCTATTAATTTTCCCTTATATTACCCTCTTTACAATAATTATTGAAACGTTTGAGTTCGAAGCCATCATCATAACTTGCTTAGCAAATTTTATGATTTTCCGAATACAAAACCTAATTTTTCCCAATTTTTTATTGCCAAATTTTTCCTGTAAATATAAGCAATAAAAACTATTTAAAATTAGTATTTATCAAATATTTGTCAGTTTAGCATTCCCATTCCTGCTATATGTAAATAATTTTAATTATCTATTAGTTTTCATATAATTGAAACAAACACTACTTCCATACTATTAATCATTTTCTTAAACAACTTACGCATCATTCTCTTAAAAGTCAACTGACTCCTTTTACTAAAAAGCTTTTAGTACATGCATCGTCATTATTCTTCCTTCATTTCTTTTAATCCATTCAGTTCACGCGCAATTTTCACACGGTTCGGTTGTCTAATAAAAGTGTCTTAAGAAAATTATTATTTTCATTGAGAAATAATAAAGTTTTTGTTAATATTTTTGTATAAATTTATTACTAAAGTGTTAATAAACATTTGTGTGTAAAAATTTTGTTAAAAAGTTTTCTTAAAATTTTAGAAAAAAGTGTGTAAAGTTGTTGGCAAATTGTGTAAATTCTTTAGCCGACCGATTGTTTTCTTTTTGTTGTGGCTATTCGTTGTGTTTACAACAACAGTTGGTTGTTTGTGTAAGAGTGTGTGTTAGCGAAATGCCAAATAGTAAAGAGGGAACAAATATTTTAAGGGAAATTGAGAAAAAGGAAATTATATTCGCAAGTGAGAAGAGTACCATTTGTTATTTATTCTGAGAAGAGTTTAATGTTTAGAGTTAATCGGATGTTATTGCAAATAAACATTCACAAATAATAACTTAGTACGTTCATAAACCCATAGGAAATTTTGTTTAATATTTGGTATTCCTAACTTTTATTTGTATTTTAAACTGTTTAATAAGTAAAAAAACTCATTCCCCCATTGCCTCAATGTCTGAATATTTTTTATAGTAAAGAAAGCTTTCATATACAAATTATAAAACAATAACCGGAGGTTAAAATATTGGGCCATAGAATATTTTTTTAAATAACAAAAATAAGATAGTTTTATGTCGATACATTCATACGTACTGGGAAATGTTTTATTATAATGTATAATTTTGGTCTAAACAAATATTTCGTGAGAAGGTTATATATCAGTTTGTCATTTGAAATTTCTATAATATTATATTCCGACCCTATAAAGTATATATGTATATTCTGGATCCTTATAGATAGCGGAGTCGATTTAGCCATGTCCGCCTATCCATCAGTCCGTACGTATGTTGAAATCAGTTTTCACAAGACCCCAAGTGTCTGCGAGATCCAAATCTTCAATAATTCTATCAGACATGCGGTCGAATAAAACGCTATTTAAAATCAGCAAATTCAGTCCATAAATATGGAAGATATGAGCAAAAATTTGAGACTACCTCTGAAAATTTAATAAATTTAGATTTTTCGTTCATGCACCGGATTAAGTGAGCACCAATAAAAGGGGACTTTTTGGTACTTTTTCGTTGTTCAAAGAGTACTTTTAGAACGTTTTACCATATTGAACATAGAAACATGAAATGAAGTGAGCGAGAACATATGAAAGGGGACTGTAGTTAGTTAGTTAGTTAGGTAGTTAGTTAGTAGTTAGTTAGTTAGTTAGTTAGTTAGTAGTTAGTTAGTTAGTTAGTTAGTTAGTAGTTAGTTAGTTAGTTAGTTAGTTAGTTAGTTAGTTAGTTAGTTAGTTAGTGTTAGTTAGTTAGTTAGTTAGTTAGTTAGTTAGTTAGTTAGTTAGTTAGTTAGTTAGTTTAGTTAGTTAGTTAGTAGTTAGTTAGTTAGTTAGTTAGTTAGTAGTTAGTTAGTTAGTTAGTTAGTTAGTTAGTTAGTTAGTTAGTTAGTTAGTTTAGTTAGTTGTTAGTTGTTAGTTTGTTAGTTTGTTAGTTAGTTAGTTAGTTAGTAGTTAGTTAGTTAGTTAGTTAGTTAGTTAGTTAGTTAGTTAGTTAGTTAGTTAGTTAGTTAGTTAGTTAGTTAGTTAGTTAGTTAGTTAGTAGTTAGTTAGTTAGTTAGTTAGTTAGTTAGTTAGTAGTTAGTTAGTTAGTTAGTTAGTTAGTTAGTTAGTAGTTAGTTAGTTAGTTGTTAGTTTGTTAGTTAGTTAGTTAGTTAGTTAGTAGTTAGTTAGTTAGTAGTAGTTAGTTAGTTAGTTAGTTAGTTAGTTAGTTAGTTAGTTAGTTAGTTAGTTAGTTAGTTAGTTAGTTAGTTAGTTAGTTAGTTAGTAGTTAGTTAGTTAGTTAGTTAGTTAGTTAGTTAGTATTAGTTAGTTAGTTAGTTAGTTAGTTAGTAGTTAGTTAGTTAGTTAGTTAGTTAGTTAGTTAGTTAGTTAGTTAGTTAGTTAGTTAGTTAGTTAGTTAGTAGTTAGTTAGTTAGTTAGTTAGTTAGTTAGTTAGTTAGTTAGTTAGTTAGTTAGTTAGTTAGTTAGTAGTAGTTAGTTAGTTAGTTAGTTTAGTTAGTTAGTTAGTTAGTAGTTAGTTAGTTAGTTAGTTAGTTAGTTATTAGTTAGTTAGTTAGTTAGTTAGTTAGTAGTTTAGTTAGTTAGTTAGTTAGTTAGTTAGTTAGTTAGTAGTTAGTTAGTTAGTTAGTTAGTTAGTTAGTTAGTTAGTTAGTTAGTTAGTTAGTTAGTTAGTTAGTTAGTTAGTTAGTTAGTAGTTAGTTAGTTAGTTAGTTAGTTAGTTAGTTAGTTAGTTAGTTAGTTAGTTAGTTAGTTAGTTAGTTAGTTAGTTAGTTAGTTAGTTAGTTAGTTAGTTAGTTAGTTAGTTAGTTAGTTAGTTAGTTAGTTAGTTCGTTTTATTGATTACAATTACAAATTAGCGTTTTTTGCAACTATTTTTATCAAGCTCTTTACATATTAAAATGTTGGCATCATTGTTACACGACTCATTTAAGTTTAGTTTCGTTTCAGACTTCAAAATTAATACACACGACAGCCATTTTCAGTGAAAACAATTTTTAAAAAATTATTTAAAAATAATAAAGAAGTTTCAGAACATTAATATTATACGTAAAATGTCATTAATAATAAATTATGTTTAAGAAATCGTTTAAATGTTCGCGAAATAATAAATAAATATAATAAAAATAATAAATAAAGAAAATAAAAAGGAATCATGGTCGTTCGTTTTTTCGTTCGTATTCTTCGGTGTACGTCGGTTGAATAATTAAAATTACGGGTAAAAAATATCAAGTGTTTTTAGTAGAAAAAAGTTAATTTCAATTCATAATTTTGAAAAAGGCAATAAAATAAAAGTGAAAATTAAAATAATAAAAGTGTTTTTAAAGAAAGAAGAAGAAATAATCATTATTATAATAGAAATGTGTCTAGTAGAAATGAAAATCGTGTAAAGTGTTTTAGTAAAAAAATATAATTTAATTATTAGTCCTTAAAGCAGAGCATTTAATAAAAAGAAGAAAATATATGGGCAATAAAAAAATAAGTGAAAAAATCAAGTGTTTTAGTATAAAAAATATAATTTATAAAAAAGAAGAAAAAGAAAAGGGTAATCCAATATGTGTGTATAAAGTGAAATTATATCAAATATTAAGGCAAAAGTATAATCAAATATTAAAAGTGTAATATATGCATGTAATGGAGTAAGCTGCAGCTAGATTTCAACTCTAAACACCAGCAACCAGAACTAAAAGGTAAGAATTTTAAATAATTTTTGTAGATTGCTTTTAATTTCAAAGTTTTGTAAACTTTTTGATCAAATTTTAATAATTATCTGATATTAAAGAGTTATAAACTACTTGAACTGGGCTTTAATATTTAGAATAAAGTACCCTTAACTCCTAGAAACTTTATAATAAATTTAGTTTGAAAGGAAAGTTAGTAGGTCTTTGGTTAGATTTTTTTCCAATTAGAATACAATTGTTAGTCTTAGCCGAACTTTTTCCAATTAGAATTAAACTAGTAAACAAGAAAAAGTAACCTACAACTTAAAATACATTTATTTATTGTTTTATTTTATTAAATATATATATTTTTTTTCCTTTTTTTCACAAATTAAAATTGCTTTTGTTTGATATTTTTAAAATCATCTTAATAGAAAAACAATATCTTTAACACTAAAACTATAATTTCTAAAACATAAATCATTTTTCAAAAATGGTTTGTAGTTAAAAAAGTAAAATGTTTAAAACAAAATAATTAACAATTTTGAAAATTGTATAAAATTTAAAACAATATTTATTACAATTATGATTTATTTTCTTCTTTTTTTTGGTTGGAATTGTATGATTTTTAAAATGTTTTTTTTAGGCAGGCAGACAGTTTGCTACAAGTTAAATTTAAAGTTAAAACCATTAAAAATAATTAAAAACTTAATTAAAGCATAAACTAAACTTTTTAAGCCAACTTAAAATAAAAACAAATTATTAATAAAGAAATTAAAAAAAGGAACAAATTAAAAAGAAAAAAAAAACCTAAAAAAAGGAAACTTCTAATTACACAACAGCAAATTCTTAGTAATGAATGGCACTATTTAACAACTGCTGTTAGGTGTTAGACCTTCTATGGCCTCTGGACCTTTAGTTTCCACTAAAATGGCTAGTAGTTTTTTAAGTTCCTTTTCGATTTCTTTTTTACGCCCCACCTTGTCCAATTGATCTTTTTCGGGTTTCTTGAGAGCACCACTTTTAAGTTTCTTTTCGATTTCCTCGATTTCACGCAGTTTCTTATTAAGTTTTTTGCATTTCTTTTGCAGCTCCTGAGAGTCTTCTTCGATATTAAGATTATCGGCCAGATTTTGGCTTAAAGCTTCTAGAGATTTTGTTGTTGTTGTAGCTGTAGTGTTATTGGTTTGTTTATTAGCCGCAGCTGCGGCAGGGGAAGCTTTGGTTTTCTGACCATTCATGGTAGGTTTAGTTACATTAACATTGGCGGGTAGTTTGAGTACTCCAGGTATTTGTTGTTGTTGTTTGGCAGCCAAAGCAGCAGCCTCTTTTTTGGCTTTAGCTCGTTCTTTTTTCTCACGTTCTCTTTTGGCCGCCTCCACCACCTCAGGACATAAACCCGGAGGCAATCCAGTGGCTTTTCGTTGGGCAAATTGTTTACCTTTACTTTCGTATAGCGGCACTTCCTCCTGCGGCACATAACCTTCTTTTACCCTTCGTGCCTTGCGCCAGGTACCATCTGGTCTTTGGGTGGCTGGTATAAATTTTCCTAAATTCAAAGCAAACATCATTCAAAGCATTACAACAATTCACTATTCGCCATCATACACTACCTTCACTGTTTGTCGAATAAGTGGCCATGGTTAAGCGTGTTTTTAGCTCACTATTGCCAAAATGCTAAAAGACAGACGTACGGCAATCACACACAAAAAATGCTCTAATAAAATGGCCTTGGTTGTTGTGTGTTTTATAAAAATTTTAATTAAGTTTTACTCTATTTTATTCCCTAAATTTACTTTTGTTGTCTCACTCTCTGCTCCCGTTTAAAGCTGCTCAGTACGTTTGTGGTGTAGTGAGAGGAGGGAGGCTCAAAATGTTTAAGTTTTATTTAAAATTTTCAGTAAAAACAATATATTTATTTTATTAAATTGCAATAATAAAAAAATACCTTTACGCGTTATTACTAAATACACAGCTGTCACAAATGACAGTTGCTTGTGTATATTTTGTGAAGATAACAGGGTGGTGCCTATATTTATTATTTTATTAGGCAGTAAAGAGTTGCCAGTTTGTTTTTAAAAACAGAGTGGTGTAAATATTTGTAATTGTGGTGAATTTGGTTTTACCGTTATAAATTGTGAAAAATCGAAAAATCTGTGATCAGTGGATGATTTTTTTTATATAGAATGATAAAAAATTATATAATATTCATGGTAATGTTGAAATAATAAAAAAAACAACCCTAGTCCTTAAATCTTAAGGAATTTAATAAACAATTATTTTATTTGAGAAAAATAATTCAATCTGTGAACATTCATATACAGTGTTGCCAATATTTTTCAACTATTTCTCGTTAAACAATGTCACAAAAAACTTAAAACCACCAGATTAAGGTTTCTACCAAAGAATATAGACTAGACCGGTATAACTAAACTAAAATAACTAGACTATAGACAAAACTATAGACTAGACTACAGACTAGACTACAGACTTGACTATAGACTAGACTAAACTATAGACTAGACTATAGACTAGACTATAGACTAGACTATAAACTAGACTATAGACTAGACTATAGACTAGACTATAGACTAGACTATAGACTAGACTATAGACTAGACTATAGACTAGACTATAGACTAGACTATAGACTAGACTATAGAATAGACTATAGAATAGACTATAGACTAGACTATAGACTAGACTATAGACTAGACTATAGAACTAGACTATAGACTAGACTATAGACTAGACTATAGACTAGACTATAGACTAGACTATAGACTAGACTATAGACTAGACTATAGACTAGACTATAGACTAGACTATAGACTAGACTATAGACTAGACTATAGACTAGACTATAGACTAGACTATAGACTAGACTATAGACTAGACTATAGACTAGACTATAGACTAGACTATAGACTAGACTATAGACTAGACTATAGACTAGACTATAGACTAGACTATAGACTAGACTATAGACTAGACTATAGACTAGACTATAGACTAGACTATAGACTAGACTATAGACTAGACTATAGACTAGACTATAGACTAGACTATAGACTAGACTATAGACTAGACTATAGACTAGACTATAGACTAGACTAGACTATAGACTAGACTATAGACTAGACTAGAGACTAGACTAGACTATAGACTAGACTATAGACTAGACTAGACTATAGACTAGACTAGACTAGACTATAGACTAGACTAGACTATAGACTAGACTAGACTATAGACTAGACTATACTAGACTAGACTAGACTAGACTAGACTAGACTAGACTAGACTAGACTAGACTAGACTAGACTAGACTATAGACTAGACTAGACTATAGATTAGACTAGACTAGACTATAGACTAGACTAGACTAGACTATAGACTAGACTAGACTATAGACTAGACTATAGACTAGACTAGACTAGACTAGACTATAGACTAGACTAAACTAGACTATTCTAGACTATAGACTAGACTAGACTAGACTATAGACTAGACTAGACTAGACTAGACTATAGACTAGACTAGACTAGACTAGACTAGACTAGACTAGACTAGACTAGACTAGACTAGACTATAGACTAGACTAGACTATAGACTAGACTATAGACTAGACTAGACTATAGACTAGACTAGACTATAGACTAGACTATAGACTAGATTATAGACTAGACTATAGACTAGACTATAGACTAGACTATAGACTAGACTATAGACTAGACTATAGACTAGACTATAGACTAGACTATAGACTAGACTATAGACTAGACTATAGACTAGACTATAGACTAGACTATAGACTAGACTATAGACTAGACTATAGACTAGACTATAGACTAGACTATAGACTAGACTATAGACTAGACTATAGACTAGACTATAGACTAGACTATAGACTAGACTATAGACTAGACTATAGACTAGACTATAGACTAGACTATAGACTAGACTATAGACTAGACTATAGACTAGACTATAGACTAGACTATAGACTAGACTATAGACTAGACTATAGACTAGACTATAGACTAGACTATAGACTAGACTATAGACTAGACTATAGACTAGACTATAGACTAGACTATAGACTAGACTATAGACTAGACTATAGACTAGACTATAGACTAGGACTATAGACTAGACTATAGACTAGGACTATAGACTAGACTATAGACTAGACTATAGACTAGGAACTATAGACTAGACTATAGACTAGACTATAGACGTCAGACTATAGACTAGACTATAGACTAGACTATAGACTAGACTATAGACTAGACTATAGGACTAGACTATAGACTAGTACTATAGACTAGGACTATAGACTAGACTATAGGACCTAGGACTATAGACTAGACTATAGACTAGACTATAGACTAGACTATAGACTAGCCTATAGACTAGACTAAGACTAGACTATAGGACCTAGACTATAGACTAGACTATATACTAGACTACCTAGACTAGACTATAGACTAGACTATAGACTAGGACTATAGACTAGACTACTATGACAGACTATAGATAGACTATAGACTACTAGACTATAGACTAGACTCTATAGACTAGACTATAGAATAGACTATAGACTAGACTATAGACTAGACTATAGACTAGACTATAGACTAGACTATAGACTAGACTATAGACTAGACTATAGACTAGACTATAGACTAGACTATAGACTAGACTATAGACTAGACTATAGACTAGACTATAGACTAGACTATAGACTAGACTATTGACTAGACTATAGACTAGACTATAGACTAGACTATAGACTAGACTATAGACTAGACTATAGACTAGACTATAGACTAGACTATAGACTAGACTATAGACTAGACTATAGACTAGACTATAGACTAGACTATAGACTAGACTATAGACTAGACTATAGACTATATAGACTAGACTATAGACTAGACTATAGACTAGACTATAGACTAGACTATAGACTAGACTATAGACTAGACTATAGACTAGACTATAGACTAGACTATAGACTAGACTATAGACTAGACTATAGACTAGACTATAGACTAGACTATAGACTAGACTATAGACTAGACTATAGACTAGACTATAGACTAGACTATAGACTAGACTAGACTATAGACTAGACTATAGACTAGACTATAGACTAGACTATAGACTAGACTATAGACTAGACTATAGAATAGACTATAGACTAGACTATAGACTAGACTATAGACTAGACTATAGACTAGACTATAGACTAGACTATAGACTAGACTATAGACTAGACTATAGACTAGACTATAGACTAGACTATAGACTAGACTATAGACTAGACTATAGACTAGACTATAGACTAGACTATAGACTAGACTATAGACTAGACTATGGACTAGACTATAGACTAGACTATAGACTAGACTATAGACTAGACTATAGACTAGACTATGGACTAGACTATAGACTAGACTATAGACTAGACTATAGACTAGACTATAGACTAGACTATAGATTAGACTATAGACTAGATTATAGATTAGACTATAGACTAGACTGTAGACTAGACTATAGACTAGACTATAGACTAGATTATAGACTAGACTATAGACTAGTCTATAGTCTAGTCTATAGTCTAGTCTATAGACTAGACTATAGACTAGACTATAGACTAGACTATAGACTAGACTATAGACTAGACTATAGACTAGACTATAGACTAGACTATAGACTAGACTATAGACTAGACTAGACTATAGACTAGACTATAGACTAGACTATAGACTAGACTAGTAAATTCTTTCATCTCTCCGTTTACGTTGAAGAATCTCTCGTTGCTATTTTAGACAAGAAGACTAGAGACTTCAACATCCCTTCCCTTTTAGTCAGTTCTGGATGATAGTTAGGCGATAGTAAATATTTTACAATAACAACCTTCTATATTGTAAAACTTGCAGAACTGCTCTGAACTTCGACGTTAGCTTGATGGAAGAATTAAGACTTACTGCAGCGTTAACACGAAATAACTTTTTAAATTGAAAGATAATTTGACAAAAGATGGGCATTTCCCAATTACGTATTGAACTCAACTTCCATATTAACAAAATTTTGTTTTAAAACTTTCTCATGGTACATATTAACAAATTTCCAACTAGATACCTAATATTAAGCTTTCAGCTATTCATTCATTAAAATGCTTAATTATAGATTTGATTTTTGGGAAATTTGACAGCAAATAGTTTAAAACAAATTCATAAATATATACTATTAGAAAATAAAATATAATAATTAATAACTTCACAGCGCAACAAATCGTGACTAGCAGGCATGTTGAAAAAATTTGCACAACTAAGAAAAAAACGTTAAAAAAAAGAAACAGATACTCTTAGTAATTAAAATATAAAATACAACTATAATTAATTAATATAATAAACTATGAATAATTAAACAATTAAATAAAAAAAAAAACACTGAACACACCCTCTTAAACTAACTGAACATACAGAAACAATGGAATTATTCATAAAATGTACATTTTTTTTTAATTTATTAGATTGTTTTCCAAAATGTAAATGAATAATTTGAATTTATTTTTCAAACCCCAATAAAATATTTTTAATTTAATAAATTTTTTAATTAAACACGTGTCTGTCAGCCATAAAATATCAAGTTGCAAAACAAATGATCATAAATAAAATTATTAATAAAATTTGGCAAAAATATACTTGTTATTTTGAATACTAAAGATAAAGATATACAACGGATGGACGGGTCAATGAACGTCCTGCAGTTAGTTAAGGAATTTTGAAAAAGACCAGTTAGATTTTGTTTGTTTTTAAATTCATTTAATTTATGATGATATCAATTAAACTGTACATGACGTAAAACTTTTATTATTTTTTTAACAAATTAATTATATGAATGTCATTACATTCATTAAAAGGTATTGCTAATTGAAGGAGAACGTTCAGAATTGGTAAATTATTAAAAATTTATGGCAGCGTTA